AACATGCGTTTGCTGTTATTCTAACCCCACATTTTAAGAATTATTTTCACGTACTTATAAATAAAAGTAAACAATTTTATATGTAGGACTAAGCAAGTAAATGTTATAAGAATATTTACATGTGGAATTATATATAAAAAAGTTAGTATTTTCGAAGATTTCAGTACCTAAAACCTTGATGGTTTGATCGTTTTTTGCACCTGTTTATTCGTTTTACTGCGGCGTCTTTGAAAATACCCAGATGGCATGACATAACATTCCTATTATTTGATAAGCTTTAGATCATTCAGTTATTAAATGTTTGAAATTATTTGTCTTTGCGGAAAACACTATTTAAAGAATATGGGGCCCTTAAGGGAATGCATACTGTAAAAAATAATTCACTCAAGTTCACAAAATTTTACTTAATAATGTATCAATTTCTGTCCACACCTGCTGAGTGAAATTTTCACTCTGTTAGTATAAGTACAAATAAAATTTTTTAGTGAAACTATTGCAACAGAAGTGAGTGAATTTTACTCAAATCCGAGTTTCTGCTAACTATCAAGTGACTTTATTAGTATGTAAAACCAATTAAGAGTTGAGTTTTTCTCTAATATGATTTAAATTTAACTATTATTGCGTAATTTTGTACTATGAAAATTTCAAAGGGGGGCGACCCCAGAGCCTCCCGCACTAGCCGCCGCTGCTTTCATTTAATTAATATCTGTACCGTCGGATGGGGTTACTTTCAATTTCAGGGGCTACTTTGACAGAAACATTGATGATCTTATTTTATATTCTTCCTTTCGACATTTCTCGAGATATTAGGCAGATATCATAATATGGCAACTCCGCATAGTTAACGCGATCATGTCTAATCGTTCTTCAGTGAACCAGTGATGTTTGGAGGGTGTATCAGGCTTTTATTTAAAAAACGATATTTTATCCCTTTTTTGAAGCCAATATCACTTCAAGCGCACAAGAGAAACTAGCACTAGGAGTAAAGTAATATATAGTCTTTGCTATAAAACCATGTTAACCCATTAATATATTAAAAACTGAAAAATATTGCATAGTAAATATGGCCGAAAATTTAAATATTCTGCCGTGGGGTAACTTTGATCGGAGTAATGGGGTAACTTTGATCGATGTAGTGAGGCAATTTTGAAAATTATCAAAGTCTGCGAAGTATCTTTAAGTACTATAAGATTTAAATTAGGGCAACCTATTCTTAATAGAAGCTGTTATTATTTTGGTGAAAACATTATTTAAAGAACTTACAACTGCGCAAAGAAAAATTGTTATTTTTTTTATTGCAGAATATTATATTTATATTTACTTTATATTTGTATAAGAGTTAAATAATATGTTTGTACGGTAAAAGATAATATTTTCTTAATATATCACTAAGTTTCTAATTTCTGGTGTCTTAATGCCATTTATAAGCTCAATTTTTTTCTTGTCATTCAGTGAGATTGTTTCGGATATATATTTTTCATACCTGGGTTAAAATAAGGGGTTACTTGTCAAATATCATGAAAATTAATGAGGTGGACAAAGTCCCCCACTCGGAGTTTAACTTTGTTTTAGTCTTCAAGAGTTTTTCAGAAACTAGCATATATTTTAGCAAAAACTGGGCGAACCGATAGCTCGGAGAAAACCGATATTGAGGTTATTCTTATAACAGATTTGAGACTAATACAAATGAAATATTATTCGACAACTTTTTATTTTTAGCAAGGTAACCCCATCCCACGGTAGTGGTTTTGCAACACTTTATATTCTCTTTAAATTTTAATTTAAATATCATTGTATTAAAGTCACAATTTACTAATCTCCCACATCGGTTTATACACAGATCCGTTTTAGAGACAATATTTTAGGTCTCGATTAAAGGAATAAGTTAACTGATCTGACGAATAGATTGCCATAATCTATATTGTATATTATAGTAAGTAAATATAGGTAACAATTTAACTATCCGTTTATTGAACCAAATATCAAACAAAGACAACGCACGGCAACCATAGAATAGGGATGGGGTCACTCAATAAAGAGCACATTTACTCCGATTTAGCTACAAGTGTGCAAATACGAGTTTATCTGCAGAATTTATTTAACGGGTATCTATATTCGAGTGAAAATACTTACTTTTAGTTCATATATTATCACAAATGAGTAAAATTATCAAAATGCTCAATATTGAGTGAAAATGTACTCAATAATTTCACTCAATGAATTCACTCCGAACCTTTATTGCTTTCACTCACACCGATTTTTTACAGTAGGTATATGTTTCTTCATTTAGGAGAAGAATAGAAATAGTTATCCTGTTTAATTTTCTTAAACTTTAATACAAAACTGTTGCATCTTTAAGGTGATTTAATCAAATTCTGACATAAAATTCTTAACTAATCCTCGAAAAATACCAGGCTTTTTAGACTTGTCGAATACATCACAGCCTCAGAGAGCAAGTTTAAAAGCTGTACCTACTTTCTCGTCGTGATCAACATCAAACAGCACACACAGAATACAAAAAAAAATTGTTTTCGGTACAGGCCGCAAATCCAATTGTTTCCTAAAACCTCTTTTATGTTTTTCTACGACTCTGTCCAGAAATTTCTACAGGTATCCGGGAAAATGTGGGAAATCTCTCTGGTGCAGATAGAACATAGAAACTTGTCATCTTATTTTTTCATGTTCTATCTGCACCCGAGAGATTTCCCACATTTTCCCGGACACCATATACAGGGTGAATCATTAATAATGGTACACAGCTTAATGGCATATTGCTAACGTCAAAATATAGTGATTGAGCCAAACATGCCTTAATCAATTATTGCTCCTTTTCGTTCCACAGGGTGTTAAAATTGAAAAAATATTTTCCTTTTTTATCTATATTTTAAGTATGTATGGACCGATTGTTTTGAAAATTTGTAGTTTTACGTTTTTTGAGGAGGCAAATACGAATATGCAAACAGTGTTGGGGTCACGTTTAGAGGGCGCTAGTTATACTGTCCTATCAATGTAAAAATCTGTCTAACTTTTTGTATTTTACAATTTTGAATTTTTTAACTATAAATTATTGAACTACGTTCAATTCTAAATAAAAAAGGTGTACTAGTTACAAATCGATAAACTAAACCGTTTTCGAGATACTGACGTTTTAAGTTTTTGAGATTCGGCGTAAATTAAATTAGAAAATTAGCAAGTCTTAAGATACCAAGCCTGAATTAAGAATTAAGGCAAACATTACAGCAATTAAAGATTTTATTATGCATATCTTAACAAATTATTAACTACCAGCAACTTCAATGCACTTTCTTAGCCTTTTATTAAGATATTCTCTTCTCTAAAAAATAACGACAAGGAAAAACTACTTCTTAATCAAATTGAGTAGAAAACAATATGGTATTGGAAAAAATAATTTTCTAATTTAATTCCAGTCGAATCTCAAAAACTTAAAATGTCTGTATCTCGAAAACAGTTGAGTTTATCGATTTGTAACAAGTATACCTTATTTATTTAGAATTGAACGTATTTCAACAATTTCTAGTTAAAAAATTCAAAATTTTAAAATATAAAAAGTTAGACATATTTTTACATTGACAGGACAGTACAACTAGCGCCCCCTAAACCTGACCCCAACACTATTTGCATATTCGTATTTGCCACCTCAAAAAACGTAAAACTACAAATTTTCAAAACAATCGGTCCATACATAGGTACTTAAAATATAGATAAAAAAAGAAAAATATATTTTTTCAACTATAACACCCTGTAGAACGAAAATGAGCAACAATTGATTAAGGCATGTTTGGCTCAATCGCTATATTTTGACGTTAACAATCTGCCATTAAGCTGTGTACCATTATTAATGACTCACTCTGTATATTTAAATAAGACAGGACACGACTGCCCTCCTCCGTTTGCTGTTCGTGATAATTACGTTTATGAAATTTAGTTGCACCCAATTTGCATTTCAGAATTCGATTTTTACTTTAACTACTTCATATCTTAGAAGAGAAGAGAGAATAATGAAATGCAACCACTCCTTCAACCTCTACGAAGATGCTACTAAACTTTCTGCGCTGTTCGGAATGCAGCTATTTGGCGGGTTTTCGTCAGCATCGGAATTAAACTCGACCAAGTTTCGGTTTATTCCATCGTTCTCTGATTTCTGAGAGAAGCGAGATTACTGCTATTTTAGTACAGTTTGGGTTTGTGTTAAATTATTAAAATAATTATAAAAATATTAATTATAATTTATATTATTATAAAATATTAATATTCGTTACACCTGTTTCATTATAGCTTGGGTATTTCTGTAGCTCTGCGACTATACAGCACTTCTGTTCGTGTTATAAGGAATAACCTTTCAACCTGTATGTTTATATAAATATTAAAGGAAATATATTTAATTATATGTAAAAAAATTAGGCTCATTCCAATTATAACGGTAATTTATGGTCTTGTAAATCATAGCTACGAGAAATATCTGACTAGTTGCCTTGAAAAATTGATATATCCTTAATCCTGAAACATTACTATAACCCCAATTTTTCTACCGGTAGAAATTTTCCATTAAAACTTTTAATTAATCGGTTTACTTAATTGGAACACGCCACGCCGCCTGAATCCGATTACACATTTTTCTTTTTGCCCTTATGGAAGTTATAACAGCTTCCAGTTTGTTAATCTCATTTGTAATCCCACTTCCTTTGCATAAAACACGTCGATTCGTAAAGATGCACCCTCATCTTGATCGGAGATAAACAATTTATTTACGTTGCAGGAGCGGTAGGCGGTGACGGCGACGATGGGGACGACAAGGAGAAGGAGGAGGAAGCCGAAAGGGAACGGCTGGAGGCCATCCGCGAAGCCGAGGAGCGCAGGAAGGAAAAACACAGGAAAATGGAAGAAGAAAGGGAGAAGATGAGGCAGGAAATCAGGGATAAGGTATGCGAGATAATTTTTTTACTTCCTACTGCATGCACGTGGCGGAATATTTCACTGTCAGCCGGCTTCTAGTGCGGTCGGGGACTTGGCAGTCGTTTGTTAAAAGTAATTTCTTGCGTGGTACACCAACAAAAACGTTCTGATATTTTCATTTACTTTTGGAATCTTCTTGTACTGAATAAGCTAAAATAATGTAAACAATTCAACTAATGTAATAAAACTTGGAAGACTGTTACTTGATTGCTATCCAATAAACTAGGAACTAATTTACTTAAAAAGTGCATGAGTGTGGGTGAGATATAAACTACATAGTGTATTATATCTTAATTATTACTACTATTCAATGACCAATGACAAAAAACATTACTTTGTACCTACTGGAAGAGAAGGACCTACTAATTTGTAGATACAGATCCTACATAAATGATTACACCTGACCAGTAATTTTGTTTGGAACAGTAATTTTATTTCCATCGCGTTGGCAATTAAACATTGGTAAAATTAAAAATTATTAACACAATAAGATGTTAATCCACCAATGGGCGATCCCACTATCTCGAGCACAGCTGCAACGTTTTGTCATTGTTTGTTATAAACGGATTATTTCGACTGAGGACGCTAAGATTTGAGGATTTTTAGTTGAGTGCCAATCGTGCATGGTTGTTTGCCTATGCTCGGCAATACGTGACTTGTAATCATTTATGAAAGTTCTGTATTACGAGCGCAAGACTAGTGTCGCACTGGGCCAAATAAATATATAACTAACGTAAAGTTCCCAGACTAATATAGTACCGCAATCACGGTATATGTCTGGTGGGTTATTTTCCTTCTGATGTTGGTTTTCTTAAATGGAAAAAAATGTAAAACAAATGTTGCAGGAAGCTTTCTACATCCTAAGTTTCAGAAATAATTAATCATCATTTTTCTGAAAAATTTATATATACAGTGTCTTCTACTTCACAACACCACCCTAATTTTTGAGGACGGGTCGATTTTTTTTTCATATTGGAATCCCGATTGTTTATACTCCAATTTCATGATCTACTTACTACATTAGTTCAAAAGAAATTGGAAAATCTTATTAGAGTATTATTTTTTAAGCTGTCTTTTTTATTATGATTTAAAGTTTGATGAGTATCTCTAATAGTAAGAGAGATATCAAAAGAAGCCGACTCATTACTCTTAATATAATCTGTAATATATTACCTTGAATTCAGTAAAATATAAATATTTTTTGTTTTCATAAATATATGTATGAAATTGTTAGAAATGTCTAAATGACGTGTGAGAGAGAGAGAGTGCAATAATTCTGATAAATAACAAAAATATAATTACGGATTTTATTTAAAGTGTATCTCTTAAAAATGAAACTAGAAAAGATAGTTTTAAATAACGCATATATTGTCAGCTTCTAAAACACATTATTTTTTTTACTTGAACTTTAGCTGTAGTAAACAGTGCAATGTTTTCACGGCCAATGCTGATATTTAATATTTTTATTTGGGAAAAAACCACTGGCTTACAATTTTTTTCCTTAAAAATTTCAGTCAGTGCTGGTACGCACGCCACTCAGAGCTAGAAATTATGCCTGTATTGAAAAAATGCGCCTTTATTAACTATCACTGCTTACTAAATATCACTGAAATATCTCAAGCGATTTTGGTAATATTAATTAATTTCCTTCTTTTTCCTAAAATGTTAACATCCCGTATTTTTGTAACGGAACATTTTTGGACCATAGTTTATAAAGCAAACTATCATTTCAAATTTCCAATGTAGAATCACACCCTTAAATATTCGCATATGATTAAGGAACACCGTATTTGCACTACATAGAAAGAGATGAGGAATTATAAAAAAATGCATAACCATATTGGTTCCTTTAGGAAAGAAGAATTTGCATCTACTGCTTTAACTGCCGATAAAATCAAAATAAGTTCGAATTAATATATGTTTTAATACTCCTGTATGTATGTGTATGTGTATGTAATAATAAATGTAACAAAAGCCGGGACGCGTAGTAATTTATTAGTTCTCGGAACGGATGGGCCAAAAAGTAAAATATTTCAGTCAACACTAATTTTATCGAAAAGTTAAGAGTCTTCAAGTAGGTTTAGCGTCGCCACAAGGCCGTCCTTTGAAGAAGGCCCCATGACATTTAGCAATATTTTTTTGAACAAGTTCACTTAGACCGTCGGGGCCATGTGTTGAGCATCTGGTATAAAGAGAAAAATCGATATTTCTAATAACGCGCGAAACGCATTCGAAAGAACACGTATGAATGCCAAGATATTTAAAGTTGTTAGAATGTTGTCAAGAAAATAATAATAGGCCAAATAGCTGTTTTTTTGGCGGATTTTCCAAGCTATAAGGATAGATTAAATGAGATTGACTAATCCGTCCCGTATTGCTATATGGAGTCACAAGAGGAAGGTATAGGGTTGTTTGTAAGTTTAGTCTCAAAATTATTTAGACAATTGTAAAAATCAGTCAATTAGATAACGATTAACATGGCATAGTTATGCCAAAGCGTCCCGATATTCAGGGTTCCCGCCAGTAAGATAAGAACATAAAAGTCAGAAATGGGCGTGTCGAAGCGAGGTGTCGAATTCAGGAGAGATCTCCGAAAAAACAGGCAGTTTTTCCTTGGGTTCCACATTGAGCAGTCTACTTAGTTTTAGAGTCTCGGGTTAATTTAGTAATGGATAAAGTCATTCCAAATTTTGCTATGGATCGCGCATTCCCTGAATCTCGGTACGTTGTCGCGTGTCAATAAATTAATTAATAATGTTGTTCGAGCCCGTTGTGTCGTTATTTTGTTTGTTTGTTTTGTTTTTATTGTTATTAAACCCCTTCCTCGAAGTTTTGGTGTTTCTTTCTTGTTCTTCCAACTTAAGTGTCACCCCATACAACCAACACTGGATTACCTTGTACATGAGCGACATACGCTAAGTGTCTGGTATTCATTCTCTGAACGTACAACATTTCTAAGTTCCCACGTATTAATTAAAGTGTAATTATAATTATAAACTCCCTTCCGAGAATTAAATAGTAGACTCTTTTACAAGTTAATATCGTTATGATACTGGTCATAACGGTAGATATATAAATGAAAAAATAACCCCTCAGGTTATATAAGTAAGTATATTTTTCAGGAACAATTTTAGATAAATATGAATAAAACAAAAAGTATTTCTAATTCTATATTCCATTGAATACATTTAAGCTTTTCTGAATGTGATTATAATGTATATTTTTCCATTTATTTCCAATTCCATTCGACCGAACAAGCGATATGGAACCCAATATTAATATTACTGTGTAATATTTTGACAGCAATTCAACAAGCTCTCAAGATTATTAATCACTGCGCACTCTAATTTTAAAATGTTTTCACGAAAAGGAATCGACACCAAATTCTCATAAAATATAAAAATATCAACCTTGCCTATTTTTCCATAACTTGTTCTTCAAATTTGTATCTGAAACTTTGCGTTTAGAAAATAGCAAATGAAAATTCAAATCGAATATAAAATATATCTAAATATATTACTAAACGTCAGAATACGAATCCGTTGTTTTCATGTTTACTGCAAGCAGGTTTTATTTTAACAATTGATCAACATTATTTTATAAACCTTAAAAATAACACGGCAACTTGCATGTTTCAGTATCAAGGAACAATTTAAAAAACGTAACACCGTTATTTGGGTACAAAGAGAATTATACTATCATCGATTTAAAATTTATATCATTACGTTGACATTTATCGTCTAGGGAAGTTAAGAGCGGTTTAAAAGCAAAAGATTGTTATTCAATTTTTCCAGGCCGCAATGATGTATCGATTTATTTCATCACGAATAAAGTGTAACAGCCATAAATTCCTATTCTTACCAAAAACAAACCTACCATGAAGAAATATGCCTGTAACCCTCACGAAAACGCGCGTGTTTGAAGGACATCGGGGTAAATAAAACACATGTTTCATAATTTGTTATTTATACAGTTCGCTGTTTTAAATTGTGTTACTTTATTTTTGTAAAATTTATCACTATTAATACCGAGATAATTTTTATTTATTTGTGAATAGTTAATTAATGAGAATTTCCTTCGTTATACACACAATAAATACAGGGTGTAACTTTGCGACGTACTTTCCTCGCGTTAAAAAAAATAATACGAGTATCATTTTTTCCTAAAACATTTCCCCTATGGGTTTTACGCGACCCAACTGTGATTAATTGGAACTAAGTAAGTATAGATTATCCAACTGGACTGATAAACTTAAATCCGGCTCCAGATGATACGATCAGTTGCCAAATATTTGCCAAATGTAAAAAAATACCGTACCTATGGTGTGTTGAAATAAAATTCCAAGAAGACCCCTGCATTACATTCTTGGAACTAACCGCATTTGTAACCTGAAGGGTTATTTCTTTAATTATCTATCTACCGTTATGACCAGTATCATAACGATTCGTGCTTTCAAAAGAGTTTACTATTTAATTCTCGAAAGGGAACTTATAATTATCATTATACTTTAATTAATACGTGGGAACTTAGAAATGTTGTATGTTCAGAGAATGAATTTCAGGCACTTACCCTCTATTGCTTATGTAGAACATAATCCAGTGGCTGGCTATACAGGGTGACACTGAAGTTGAGAGAAACAAAAGGAAACACCAAAACTTCCAGGAAGGGTTTTAATAACAATAAAGGAAACAAACAAAGAAAATAACAAACAAACACAACGGCTGGAACAACATTATTAATTGACTTATTTACACGCGACGGCGTAAAAAACGTATTTGAAAAAAACTTTATCCATTATTAAATTTAATTAATTAGCCCGAGACTCTAAAATTAAGTCGACTGCTCAATGTGGAACCTAAGGAAGAACTGACTTTTTTTCGTAGATCTCTCCTGAATTCGACACGCCCCTTTCTTGGGTCCAGACGTTTCTGTTCTTATCTTACTGGCGGGAACCCTGATTGTCGGTA